TTTTTTTTTTTTTGTAACTTTTAGTATTTTCAATTTGGTTTCTCTATATTTTTTCTAATTTCGTCTCCCTTCGAAAAGTTTGCACAATCAAAAACTCGTTTTATGCATGAGATCAATAAACGAGTCAAATTCTGTGGAGCCATCGGATGATTTTCTTATAGAACTATCCATCACTTAATGTATTGACACATGTCTAAATTGTATTTATTGTAGGACACATGTCAATACACCATTGATAATAAGTGTGGATGATTTCATAAGTTGAGTCATCCGATGGCTCTATGGCAAAATTGATAAACGAGTAGGGGACCGGGGAATAGAGGCATAAAAAGGGAGAGAGAAGAAAAAAAAAGGGTTTCACATAAAGTTGTAGCTTTATTTTTTCTACATTTCCCTTTATATTGCATTGTACTTTTCATGAAATATGGGAAAAGGTATATAGTTAGGTAATCATATATTTCTCTATACCTTAGAAAATAATAATCCAACTTAATTATGTAATTATACTATCTCCTATTTTCAATATATGTCGTATTTTTAATATATGTCGTTTTGAGAAGTTGCACACTAATTAAAAATATATTTTTTTTGTCAATAATAACCTTATTTAATGAAGATAGAGATGAATGTTTTGAGAAAAAAATGAAGAGTGAATATGAAAAGACGTAATGTATTTATTGGCTAAATAAGTGTAATATTGGAAAAATATGTACAAAATATCTAAAACGACATTTATTTGACAAATAATTGAAAAAGCTAAAATGACATTTAACAAAAATAGGAGGGAGTTGTAAATTTTATGTACTGATCTGAATTAGGGGCAAAAACAAGCTGAATAGAGCTTCAATTTCTCATAGTTCAGCTTTAGCTCGAGCATATATCGAGCCGAGCTCGTTAACTGAATGAGCTGATAAATGAACTCGTTAACTTTTATGTTATGTAGGATTAGAACTTAGAAAAATAATTATTGTTGGGATTTATCTTGTTTAGCAAGTTAGGAGTTTTAGGGATCTCGGACTACATATTCTTGCTCTCTCTTCATAGTCGATCGGCTATCACGTTTTATTGAAGAAAATCTGATTGACGTTGTCTCATCTTTCCCTTTCGACATTCACGTTCTACATCAGATTTCAAAATTAACTGTTTATAATCATTGAAACTTACATATTATTCTTCCAAAATTTAATCACATGCACATGATAATAATTTTTATAGAATATATTCTTGTTTCCCTGGGAGAGGCAAGAGAGCAATAATTTTTAGTTAACAATTCTAACGTAAAACCAATTGTTACGTACATTGCCGTCCAAGTTATGCTTCACATAAAATAATAGTAAAAAATTTATATGGGGACAAGTTGTCTTAGATTGGATTTCTATGCAACTTTGGTAGGATCAAATTTTCTATTAAGTATAACTGTTAAATGAAATCAGTCATCCGGGAATTCAGTTCGGCTCGGTGTTTGAGATCGACTCGTTCTCGACTCAAACGAGAAGAACTAAGTTCGAACTTTACAAATAATTCATGTTCAATCTCGTTTAGTCAAGCTGAACTCATTAAAGGCCCGGGATCAAACTTATATATAAAAAGCTCGGCTGGGTTCGAATATGAAAAGTCGAATATGAATTGCTTACACTTGGGAGTGAAATGTTTTTATGTTGGGAGTGAAATGTTTTTTGAAGCGACCATATAGTAAATCGTACTTGTATGACATTGATAACACAATGATAAATCACGGTTAAAAGTACATGTACGCCGTACGGTACACTCATTTGTACAATAATAAAAGTAAAAAAAATAATAATTAAAACACATTATTTGTTAATTAATTACCTGTTGAAGCTCAATCATAGGTAACTAGTAGACTTCTATCTTCAAGCAATGATTGAAGACAAAAAAGGTATGACACCGACCCGAGTCGACCAACGGATTAGTTGGTGCATAACTCCAAATATCGTGGCTGGCTAAAAATAAAAAACAAAATTATTATTTTAGTATTTTTAAACCACAACTAAAAATAAATAAATTAATTATAAGACACATTTTTCATCAAATTTTATTCTTAACTCAATGATATATTTGTAAAAGTCAATAATTTAAAATTATTATTTTAGTATTTTTAGATCACATCAATTTTATTATTATATTTAATTTCATATCTATTTACAAGTTAAGAAATCATTAACATTTTATTACATTTGGGATATATTTTTTCACAATAATTATTTTAATTGGACTTGGTTCTTGCCGGGCCTCCTACTCTACCAATTTGCTTGGTAATTGTTCCACTATTCTCATTAATTAATAATTAAATTACTAAAAAAATGAAATCAAAGAGACAAAGAAAAATACATCTAATCTGTAAATATTAATTAGTACTTTTCCTTTACTTAATTAGTACCTTTTCATCTCGTTCTCCCTTAATTTTTAAGTATTTTTTGTTTTTCTTTTGTATGTAGAAGCAAATCAAATTGGATTGAGACAAAAAAAAAAAAAAAATCTAAAATTAGAAAGTATGATATTTTATAATATGATATTTTATAATATCACTATATTTTTGTTAATAATCGATTTCCATAAGAATTTATGGAATAAAAGTAAATAAAAATTGAAACTTTACTTCTTTTGTGGGGATAAAAAAAAAAAAGGAAAAAGAAAACAAAAATTATTATTATTTTTTTCTTTCAACACAACATTATTTGTCTAAATCTGATGAACAAACAAACTAGAAAAGGTCCAACAAAAAAAATTCTATAAAGTAATCAGATAGGTTTTTTTATAAATTCATCTATCTCTTAATATATCGACACTAGGTGTCTAAATTGTATTTATTGTAGGACACGTGTCAATACACTATTAGTAAATAATTGTGGGTTGCTCCATAAGTCGAGCCATCCGATAACTCCACGTATCCAAAACATTTACACAACAAAAGAAGATAATGCAAATTAATCAATCAAAATTGAGCTCGGTTCATCTGTTTCTTGTCTAGCTACAATGTTTTAATCCTTTTCTCTCATCTTTTTCCTCTTTATTATCTTCTCTCCACATATGGATACAAATAGCACACTCTTGTGTTTTATATACAAATGGCTCTCTATGTTTAGACCTTTCATTTTCTTGTCCCAAGATTGCATTTTTCCAGGTTGTCCAAAATACCCTTTTTGCTTCTCTGTATGTTGGGGCTTCATTTTCAGTGAGCTCAGTTAATGGGCCTCTGTTATTATTTGTCAGAAAAAAAAAATGATGTT